TATTTGCTCCGAATTCGCTGAAAACTATAGTTTAAATTTAGAACTTTCGAACACTTTAACTACCGTAAAACCTGTAATAAAAGGGCCCCCTGACTGTGTACTTTAGGCCAATTCATCTTCATGGGAAAAGGTATCGAAAAGTGGTCCACTAACAAAACATTTATTATAACACAAATTAAATTTTATTCCTTGATCATTTTTCAATACCTTTAACAGGGACCGAGATAAATTGGCTCAAAATGGAAAGTTTGTTTTATTAAAGCCAGAATTTTCTAGAAGTTCTAATCGATTTTGAAAAAAGATCCTGAAGTAGTGGAGCGAACTTTTTTAAAAACAAAGATGCTATGTTTACGATCAACTTGAAACGGAAAACTTTCCATCTTCCTAAATTAGCTCTCTTCTTGTTCCCTTTCTCCACTTCCTTCCCAAAAAAAATCCTGAACGATTAGCAATCGAACTAATTCCCTACGACGAAAAAACCATGTTCAACAACTGTTCCTCATTTTCGCTTTTTGTCTATGCTTTGATCTCCTCCAGATAGATCCACAAACTGTTTCATTTATTCAATGTGTCCACCTGAGAATGGAGAGAGAGAATTGGGGAACGGGAAATTATCTGGATAGATGGGCATACAACATACATGTGTAAGGATGAAGACGAAGAGGTGGTGATTGTGGCGAAAATGAGAAAAAAAGAGAAAAGAAACACCGGATTTTGCCGACTTTTCCCCCATCTATTTGCTTCGTGTATCTTATTTTATCCACCTGTGGATGATTTTTGCAAGAGGAGAGTAGATTTTGAGGGATGTTTAGGGGTTGGCAAAAATTACAGAAGGTGTAGGAATGAAAATAATGTTCAAATGTTAAAAAATTGGAATTAATGGTTATCTGAAACTGAAAATTGGAAAAATTTTGAAATTTTAATTCGAAGTTTTTCTAAAATTTGTATAATTTCTGAGAATTTTCAAAACGAAAGTTCCCTTCGAAAACCTGAAATTTATCTAATCCACACTAATATCAACATAAAAGGCTGAACGTTGGGGAAGAATTTGCTTGAAAAATTAACCTTATTAACCCATCATATTCAGAAATTCGCTTTCAAAAATTATAACCTTCTGAATCAGCGATTTTTGAACATAATTTTCACCGTTTCTCTGGTTCTCAAAATATAATATTTTTATTCCTAAAATTCTATTGTGCTTGCCTTCTTTTCAACATAAAATTCATCCGAAATAATTTTGAAATTTACTGTAGACCTCTAGGAGAACGAAACCCTTTTCTTTCACTTTGAGCTCAATTATATCGGACTTTATTAGAGGTATTGAAAATCTGTTAACTGATAAAATGTTTGTCTTAATATCACCAATATTTTATCAATAGACAGAGTTTCGATATCTCTTTTAGGAACCGAGATAGTTGAGCTCAAAGGATTGACGTTCAATTGGGAAACTTAAAGCACTGTTAGATACCAAGTTTGATTATCCCAAATTTCAATTTTTCGAATAAAAAAACTTCAATTTATATGATTTCAGATGCACCCCACACATGTGCCATCACAACGGAACTATCGCTGTTGGAAAGAAGGAAATCGAGTGTATCTGTCCACCACCATGGGACGGAAGATTCTGTGAACGTTTGGCCTGCTGGCGAAAGACAATTCCAACTCAACAGCACAGATACCGTAACAACGGAGATCACTGCATCTGTGGTAATCATTATTCTGGAGAGAACTGCGATGTCGTCAAATCGTGCTTGAATGAGGGAAAACTCGAGAATGGAAAGTGCAATTGTCGTGATGGATGGCACGGAGAGCTATGTGATAAGAGATGTCCAAAGGGACATGTTACGTAAGTGTACTGAAAAGAAGTCAATAATGTTGAAAAAATACAGAGAGTTTGAAAACGAGTATTTGAAACAGTGATTTTTGGAAAACAATACTCAACTTTTGTCAATCACAAAAGTATTGGATTTTGTCTGATGCGTTTTTATACAAAATTTGTGATAGAAGGGCCTTCTAACTTTTAAAGGTGGGGGGACAGGAGATTTTTCGTAGTTTTTTTGTAGCTAGAGTATGCATTCTACCGTCACGGTGTACAACGCTTAATGTCACGCTGCGTACAGCTGTCGTCCTCGCCTTTATGTATGCAATCGGGCGTGCGCTCTCTCTTTGCCCGCGTGGCTCAGTCGGTAGCGGCGCCGCACCCTCAATCATCGCCCTCACAAGTTCAACTCCTCGAGGGGCATCTTTGAACGGAATTTCGAGAACATTTTTTTTTTCATGTCCCCCACCTTTAATTTTAAGCCAATTTTTCTCGATTTTTTTCAAAGATATCAAAAAGTTGTCAACGGAAATTGTTCATCATAATATCGCACGCATTTTATCAGTTGACAGATTTTTGATATCTTGCTTAGGAACTGAGATAATTAAGCTCAAAGTTGACAGTGTGAGGGGCTTCTATTACAGGTTTATGGTGAACCCAATAAAAACAGGAAGTTAGTTTTGTAGTTCACAAATTCTTTTCCAAACATACTATTGTTAAACCTGAATTTTTTATGATGGATTCTGCATTTTAGTCTCCATTCCTGTAACATTGGACTATTGAAATATTATAACAGATTCATTGAAATGAGATATACCGCCTAAAACTTTCATTACTCGGAATTCAGTGATATTTCTGGAAATTTTGGCACTTGATTGGTTTCAAGCAGTGCATCTCGTTGGATTGAACTTACTAAAAAGTTGTCAACTATGAAATTGAAGCTCTACTTTTGTTTAGTACACTCTGAAAGTTTTAGTCTGATTCAACAAAATCAACCTAGTTTTTTAGACATGTAGAGTCGGTCATTTTCAACTAATAATAGCTGAATTTAATAAAATTTTGGTCGGTACTGTGTATGGTGCGATTTGTTAATTACTGTTTCACAAACTTGATATTAAAAAATCTTTAATAAACATGACTGATTCGATTTACATCGCTGATTTATTAGGTTGATAAGAAAGTTTCTTTCTTTTTTGGCAAAACTTTTGATTAAATTTTTCTCAATGCGGAGGGAGCTAGATCAATGAAAGTAACGTCCATTAGCATCAATAGTTGTCTGGCAACGCTCCGGTTATTTCTTGATTCCATCGGCCCAAAACGAGGAGGGCTGCGATTGAAATAGTGGGACTACTCCTTTTTTGTGCCATCTTTTCACTTAAAGTATTCTCTATCAAGATGACGTTTAAGAGCTCCAAAATATTACTTTTCCTGAAGGGCAAAGTCCGGAGAATACGATGAGTGCAAAATAACAATTCAGCCAAAGGTCATGAATTTATGGCTGATCCCTCTATTCACAAGCGATCTCGCATTGCCGCACTGGAAGCAAACTTTGGTTTTTTCTCCTCTTTTGATTAGACTGTCAAGTTCATATCTTCTAATTATGAACTACACAAGGTGGCAGTTATAGTGGTACTTTCAACTAAAACTTCCCAGTGTCCGTTACTTTGACCGACCATCAAACTCATAGCATACCTATTTTTAAGGAAAATTTAGGTTCTTGGACGTCCAGAGCAAGCTATTTCTTGGCAATCAACTGACCCTTCCGCACATTGACAGAGTAACTTACGCACTTATCATCTACTGTAATGACATCATCCAGCCATTTGAACGTGCGAAGAAATGATAGGTGAAACATACCGTCTACATGACGAAACATATTTGTCTACATGACGAAACATATTGTAGTCCGGATAAACACGGTGTACGAATCAACCCAGATTTTGTCTTTGCCAAGAGACTTCGATCCGGCCACAATACTTGGTTGACTAGAGGACAATGCCTGTGACATTTTACAAATGGTTTGAAATGGATGCACCTCCCCGGTTTTTAGCAATTGATGAAGATCAGACTCACTAGGCCGTTGGCATCTTTCAAACTGAACTCTCTTGTTTGGAATTCCTCAAACAAAAGGCAAATTGTAAGCGATGACGGAACATGTCCATTATATACATTTACAACTTTCTTCCAAATACCAGCTGTTTGAAAACCGAATAAAAATAAAAATATAATCAAGTTGCCAATGTGCAGTCGGATAAGAACTAAAACAATCGCCATTTCTTCAACACGAAGAGAGATGAAAATTCGAAAATCTAGGATCTAATAGCCTCTGAACACAGCTCTCTAACAAAAAAAATTTGGCCCGCTAAACCACTTGGAGCGTCAGATATCGATCCTCAAAAACAACTCTGCCAAAAAGAAAGAAACTTTCTTATCAACGTACCGTAAAACCTCTAATAGAACGACACCCGGATCGTCCACTTTGACCCTATATATCTCATTTTCTGTGAAAGATATCAAAAAGTGGCTAACTAGTAAAATGTTGCTGATATCCTGATAAACATTTTACTAGTTAACC